CATCTCTTCAAGGATCCCAAATCCCATCTCCTGAGTTTTGCAGCAGCTTTATTGAAGTATTATTCACATGCCAAGCAATCCCCCCATTTAACATGTACAAGTAAATGGTTGTTAGTATATTCTCAGAGTTCGTGCAACCATCATACAATCAACTTAGGACATCCTTATCATCCCCAAAAGATGCCATGTACCTTTTTGATCTCATCCCCCAGTCTCCCCATCCCTCTCATCCTGAGATGATGAAGGTTTGTATTTTCAGGGCATGGTGCATGTGTTTGTATATTTGCATGTATGTACGAATACACAATCAGCAACTATGGAATTGTCAGGGGGAAGAAGCAGTATCTGGGAAATCATGATCATGCAGGATCCAATGTAAAGGGTGAAATTTCCAAATGAAATTGTAACAGAAGAGCTTGATACAACTCCCTACTGATGGGGGTCAGAGTAGTGGTAGGGAACATGAAGCCCTTACAATCAATTAGGAAAAGCAAACAAAAGAAAGTTGTGATTAAGAACTCAGTTTTTTGGAGTACAGTGTTTGAGTTCCAGCTTTGTAATTTATTAGCTAGGTAACTTTCAGTAATTTACGCCTCTCTTTACTTGTCTGTATAATGCCTGCTCTTCTCCAGAGGTCATGGAGCTCACAGGCACACATGCTTGCTACCTAAAATGAGACCTACAATAACCTTGGTGGGGGCGGATTGCAGTGTCTGGCCAAGGAGTCTGCAGGGCAGAGCGAGAGAGGGTGTCTTCAAACATACCTTTTCTCTGGGGGTAGTGTCCTTGGGTGAGGCTTACTGGATCCCTTCAAGGCTCTAGAGATTGGATTTTCTGGATTTGACATCCAATCCCTCCATTTGGAGATAAGTACTCAGACTAGGTAGGAAAAGACCTTTTGGAGTGAAAGGCCACCATGGGGCTTATGATATCGTGATATACTAAGAAAGCAATATTTGGTCCTTGTCTTAGTCCATTTTGCATTGCTATAAAAGAATACCTGGCCGGGCGCGGTGGCTCAAGCCTGTAATCCCAGCACTTTGGGAGGCCGAGACGGGCGGATCACAAGGTCAGGAGATCGAGACCATCCTGGCTGACACGGTGAAACCCTGTCTCTACTAAAAAATACAAAAAAAAAACCTAGCCAGGCGAGGTGGCGGGCGCATGTAGTCCCAGCTACTCGGGAGGCTGAGGCAGGAGAATGGCGCAAACCCGGGAGGCGGAGCTTGCAGTAGATCTGGCCACTGCAAGATCTGGCCACTGCACTCCAGCCTGGGTGGCAGAGCGAGACTCCGTCTCAAAAAAAAAAAAAAGAATACCTGAGGCTGGGTAGTTTCTAAAGAAAGGAGGTTTGTTTGCCTCACAGTTCTGCTGGATGTAGAAGAAGTAGAAGCAGATCAGGAGATTAGTGAGTGTAGTACTCTGAACACTCCAGCTTTTCCACTCTTTCACTCTTGTCATTTCTTTTTTTTTGTTTTGTTTTTTTTCAGTGGCAGAGTCCTGCTATGTTGCCCAGATTGACCTGGAACCCTGGGCTCAAGCAATTCTCCTGCTTCAACCTCCCAGTGCACACCACCACACTTGGCTATACTCTTTTCATTTCAGAAAACAAGCCCTACCCACCTTTTCCCAAACTGATACTCATTATTCCTGTTCCATACTTGACATCCTTTCATTGAAAAGTAGAAAGGAATTCCAGAGGTCATGCCATTTTATTGAGTGCCTTAACATTTATTGAAAGGCTGTTCTAACTAGTAATTAAGAATATGGACTTCGGCTGGGCCCCCTGGCTCACACACATAATCCAGCACTTTGGGAGGCTGAGGCAGAAGTACGGCTTGAGCCCAAGTTCAAAACCAGCCTGGGCAACACAGCGACACCCTTGTTTCTAGTAAAGAAAAAAAAAAATTAAAAGATTTTTAAAAAAGAGAAAGAACATAGGCTCTGGGGTCAGACGTATCAGGATTTGAATTCCAGCTCCACGGCTTCCCAGATGCAGGCTTTGGTAAGTAACTCAATCTCAGTTTCCTCATCTATAAAAATGGGGATAGTAATACCAATGTGAAAGTTTCCTGAACATTAAATAAGATATTGAATTGCCTTCTTAAACAGACTGAGAAGGAAGTTGGTAAACGGTAGCTAATATTTCTATGCTATTCCTATTCCTTTCTTGATGCCAAGGGTTTTACATACTTATCAACCCAATAAATGGGCATAATTATTCTCATTTTATAGGTGAAGGAACTGAAGATAAAGAATTCAGCTGAGCATGGTGGCTCATGACTGTAATCTCAGCACTTTGGGAGGTTGAGGCAGGTGGATCACCTGAGGTCAGGAGTTTGAAACAAACCTGGCCAATGTGACAAAACCTTGTTTCCACAAAAAAAAAAACAAAAAACAAAAAACGAAAATTAGCTGGGCATGGTGGTGCGTGCCCATAGTCCCAGCTACTCGGGAGGCTGAGGCAGGAGAATCACTTGAATCCGGAAGGTGAGATCACGCCACTGCCCTCCAGCCTGGGTGACAGAGTGAGACTCTGTCTGAAAAGAAAAAAAAAAAGAATTCATAAGGTGAAATAGACATATTAGCTATACTGTAGATGAAGAAGTGGAAGCATGAAGTATTTAAATAACTCACTGATGTCTCAAAGTGGAGCAATTATAGAGCGGGGATCCAAAGCTATGTCTATTTGATTTGGAATTTGTTAAATTCCTGGTATTTGGCAGTTTGCTATTAGTTGTCATTCTTGGCAGGTTGTGATAGTCATGGCGATGTTCATTAGTTGCATTAATTTTTAAGAATCAACCTTGGTCACAGACCTGAGATATCTGCATGACTACTGTAAATAAGGACGAGAGTCCCAAATATCACGGAAGGGGATAGTCCTCTATGTTGCATTTTTTCTATCAGGCTCAATGCCCTTAGAAATAATGGGTGGTCCTTTGTTTTCTTCTATAACCCAAACAATCTACGATTATCTTTCTGCAGTTGTCCTAGTCAATTATCAGTATTATCTGAAGCTATATTATTTTAAATAGCACTGTCAGGAGCTCTGTATAACGGCTTTCTTTAAATTTACAATCTATTGATGAACCCACATAAAGATATCAAAACAACTGGAGACCAATACTAATAAATAGTAATTACATAATTGCAATAATTGCAATGGTTGATCTGTAAATACATTTCTGAGTTTCCTAGTGTTATGGGACCTTTGGGGTGTCGATTTCCTGGCCAGAAACCTCTGTGGCTGGTGGCGCCTTTGCCAGAGTTCTTGTCCTGTGTCCGGGAAGAATGAGGTATGCAGACAGGCAGAGGGTGAACAAGACAAAGAGGAGCTTTACTGCGTGTTAAAACAGCTCAAAGGAGATTGTAGTGGATAGCTCCTCTCTGTAGGCAGGTCATCCTGACGTCTGTCCAGCTCCTAGGAGAGAGGAGGCCCTGGAGAGGGCAGCTCCTTTCTGCAGCTGGTTGTCCTAACATCTGCCCAGCTCCTAACAGAGAGGAGGCCCTGGAGAGGGTCACTCCTCTCTGAAGCCAGTAGTTCTGACATCTCTGCAAGTCTCTGAAGCTCTCAGCTGAGAGGGTAGCTCCTCTCTGCAGCTGGCTGTCCCATCGCCTGCTCAGCTCTGGCTGAGTTGGGGATTTTATGAGCCTCAGAGGGGAGCAAGTGCCTGCTGCTGATTGGTCCAGGGGCAGCCATGGGCAGCCTTGGAAAAGGCACCACAAGTTCCTACTCTGGTTCATGGGGCTGACAGCCTGACCCCCAGCCTTCAGGCCCTCCTTGGTCAGAAGTTGGGGCCTCACTGGGGACCCACACCCTCTGCCCAGGAGTCTGTCTGCCTCCCACTGCCATTCATGGTGCCTGGGTTCAGCCTCAACTTTGCTCCAAGAATGGAGCAGGTGCCAACAGCAGGGAGAAGCCAGGCAGCAGGAGCAGGCACTTTTGAGCCTGCAGTGGCATGCAGGGCCTTCCCGGGCCCCCAAGAGTGCAGGGATGCCTGGGGCTGCAGCCGTAGTTTGGGTGGCTGCAGCTGCCCCCAGGAGGGCAGGGCTTTTGCCTGCTCCTGGCCCCTCAATAGCACAGGGAGGCTCAGATCTGCAGCCACACCGTGGGTGGTGCTCCTGCCTGCTCTGTGGAGCAGGAGGCCCCAATCTGCAGCTGTGCTCAGAGGCACCCAGGGAGCTCCTACCCCAACTCAGAAGGGGTGGGTCTCCTGCTTGTCCCTGGCTCCTGCCAGAGAGCATGCAGCCCTGGCCATGCCTCCCCGCTGCAGCAGCAGGCCGTCGGGAGCAGCTGCTGCCATCACTAGTAGAGTGAATTCTCACAATTTTATTTTGCCTTGGCATCCATTTTGAATGTTTAACTTTCTCATATGAGAAGCAGGGGTCAATTACCTTTGACACAGTTACTAGTTCTCTGCTTCTTCCCAGTTCTTCAACGTGATCCACCCAGATATCTGCCTAATGCAACTGCTTCCTGGTGACCATCTCCCTATGGGACAGGTAAATGCAGCCTGTTTGACTCACCCGTTGACCTCCCTAACGCACATGGACTGTGTAGATGGGCTCCGGTGACCATCTCACAGCGACAGGGTGACTCCATGGATCTTGTGCCTGCTTGCTCTAAACCCACCAATTAGAACCGACAACCTGAGATCCATAAGTAAGGCAGTGTCCCACGACGGGCTGCCTCACTTTCAGCCAACTAGAGGAGACAAAACTTTTTTTGTTCACTTTTGCACCTTACTTACAGGACAGCAGGGCTTGGTCCAGGGAGTACGGGGAGACAATTCCCTCCGGATAGTTCTTATAGAAGAGGCTTCCCTGAACTATTCCATAGCCTCGGACACTACTTTCTTTCCTTCTGTGTTGGACAAACCATCCAACCTCGCGCGGAAAATGGGGCAAGGCCTCGGGTCACCGGGCCTCGGCGGGGCGGTGAGGGGCGGGAACACGGCTCCGGAGGGCGGGGCCAGGCCGGAGCGAGGCTGCGGGTCGGGACGCCATGCGCGTGCGCGCTGCAGGTCGGCGCCGGGCGGGGGCGGAGCGGCAGTCGCAGGCCCACGCCGTAAACAGACAACATGGCGGCCGCAGTGGCGGCGGCACCTGGGGCCTTGGGCTCCCTGCATGCTGGCGGTGCTCGCCTGGTGGCCGCTTGCAGTGCGCGGCTGTGCCCGGGATTGAGGCTGCCCAGCTCGTTGGCAGGCCGGCGCGTGGGCCCGGCGATCTGGGCTCAGGGCTGGGTGCCTGCGGCCGGTGGTCCCGCCCCGAAAAGGGGCTACAGCTCTGAGATGAAGACCGAGGACGAGCTGCGGGTGCGGCACCTGGAGGAGGAGAACCGAGGTGAGGTGCGAACGCGGGGCAGGCGCGGGGCAGCGGGCGGCCGCTCACCCTCAGGACGGGCACAAGGTGCAGTCCGCCGGCTGGACGCGGGGTCGAGGTCGGGCAGGCGCACCGTCCCTCCCCTCCCTCACCTCCCCCCTCACCCAGCGTGGCAGTTTCCTTGTGCACCTATTTCTTGCTTTTAATAACCTAAACGTGTGCTCCAGAGCAGCTTACCTGTAAAGTGACCGCATTCAGCGCGGCAAACAGAAGTGCAGCTTACGCCCTCCGCTCCAGACAAGCCAAGGTCAATATATACCCTGGGTATTTAATCCTTGCTACCAGGCTTTAGTCTTGCTGTGTAATGGCTTTCTGTAAACTCAGCTATTAGTGGTGGAGTTGTAAAAGCTGCAGTGAAACTGCCTTTTATTATTACGGAGAATCTTAAATTTGAAGCTGCTCAGCTGGAACAATTTTTCTTCTTGTCCATTTTCTCCTAGAAAGTTAGTCTTGAGGGACTGTTCCACTTCATTTAAACAATTTTGAGCACTTTTTATTTTCCTCAGCTCTGGCGAGAAGAATGTGGATGGTATGGATCTTGCCCTTGAGCTACCTACCTACTGCAGGAGGAGACATCATTAGCAATACAATACAGAGGGTTGAAGGCTTTGAAGGAGGCTGACATTTCTAGGGAATACTCTTAAAGCTCAGTTCCTTTCGCTGCCAGTGCAGGGAAAAGCTAAAAGGGTCGTGAAGGGTGGAACGGCAGTTTACCCGGGTTAAGCCAGAGGACCAGTCTTTTAATTTTGACATGCATTTGTTGAGCACCTATAATCTGTTAAGCAGAAGTGAAAAGCGTGTAAGTCATGATTGCTTTTAGTATAGTGAAGCAGATCCTGATTATTAGGCTGTGTGAACTTTCAAGGCATGGTAGGAGCAAAGGGCTGTAATACCTGCAGGGTTTCGCCATATGAAAGGGGTTCCAAGGCATTCTTTAATAGGCAGTGGATTTCGCCATTTGTGAGGGTTCTTGGGCAGACTTATCTCACGTGTAAAACAGGAAAAATAATACCAACTTTATAGGTTTGTTATGAAGGTGAGATGAGATCGTTAATATAAATTGCCACTAGCCCATAGCAGTGCTTCAGGAGTTTGATGAATTACTTTATTCCTTACTTATTATTCCAGACAGAGACAAGAACATGGTCAAAAGCATGGAGATGTGAACATGTGTGGTGTATTTGGGACGTAACATAAGGCAAGTGTGGCAGTAGTGTGGCATAAGCAGAATAGTAAGAAATTCAGCTGGAAGCGTAGACTGGCACTGGGGTGATTAGAGCCTGAATGCCACCATCTTTGGGTAAGCTTAGTCATGCTGGGACTTCACTTCCATTAAGTGTACTAACAATATGTTAGATATAAAGGGATTGCAAGTACAGCTACTAATATGCATCATATTCTATTATTTTGGTCGTTATGACTTGAATGCAATTAAAGGAATATTTGTGCAAAATGTCTGGAAAGACTTTAAGTTAGGATTTGAAGAGAGAATATCAGATAAAAGATAATACACGAAGATGTTTTTCGGACGTCATGGTTTCTTTTTTTTTCTTTAGCCTTCATTTCCTGATGAGATAGGACATACATCATGGTTTCTTAAAGTTGACCCCGCCTCCTTTGAGAATTGGCAAGAATTACGACTCAGGCTTGGCTAACATTACTTATGCTTTGCTTTGCTTTACTGTTGAACCAGCAATAAGCAGTGCAAAGAAAAACAGGTCAAGGGTACTACAGGTGAAGGAGTTTCCTGGGTGCCTTTGTTTCTCTTTGAGATGGGTCCAAAATTTGGTGCTCTCAGCAGCCTCTAAGGAATAGGATAACTCTCCTAGTCACAGAAGCCCCAAACAGCATGCAGCACTTTAGGTGGGTGGGGGTAGGTAGTGCAGAATACACCAGGTCCCATCTGTTATCTGGGCTCCATATTTGTAATTTGTTGTGGGAGGCATAGCTCTACAACCCAATTTCCTTTTCTTTTCTTTCTTTTTTTTTTTTTTTTTGAGATGGAGCTTCACTCTTGTCGCCCAGGCTGGAGTACAATGGTGGGATCTCAGCTCACTGCAACCTCTGCCTCCCGAGTTCGAGCGATTCTCCTGTCTCAGCCTCCCGAGTAGCTGGGATTACAGGTGCCCACCACCACGTCTGGCTAAGTTTTTTGTATTTTTAGTAGAGATGGGGTTTTGCCATGTTGGCCAGGTTGGTCTCGAACTTCTGACCTCAGGTGATCCACACGTCTCGGCCTCCCAAAGTGTTAGGATTACAGGCGTGAGCCACTGCGCCTGAACACCAAATTTCTTTAGTGGTTATTTCTGCATTGTTGTCCATCCTCAGTTTTAGAGCAGGAGTCCTGGTCATGGCTTACAGAGGTCTCTCCTGCAACAGCCTTCTTCATAGGTCACCTGGTTGCCAAGCGTTCTCTTTTCCACTTTCTCGTCCCAGGGGTGATGGAGTTACCTTTTTTTCAAGGCCAAAAACCGTGAATCTGCTCAGTTAAACACCTCCAAAGGCTCGCCGTTGCCTGCAGGGCCTTCTTATCCGTCAGACGTCTCATAGTCTATCTCTCTGCCACTGGACCTGAGCTCTGCCTTTTCCTGTTCTTTTCTGTGTGTAGCTTTTGCACACACTTTCTGGGATGACTCCTCCCCTTCCCCTACCAGCCTTCCTGCAATTTGGCATAATTATGAACCATTTCAAGATCATCTTTGTGAACCATGTCAGAACAGCTTCTGGCAGAAATAGAGCAAACAAGCACTTGCATAGTGCAGATCCTCCTTGACACCTGCTTCTTCCTCCTCTTTCACATCTAGATTGTCATCAGGTCTTCCTGTGTCTGAAACCTTTCCATGTGCTTCTTTACCCACAGCTTCCTTGTCCAAGCTTGTCAAGTGGACTGCAGCAGAGGTAGCAGGTCTTTCTGTATCTACTGCCTTTTCTTATTTAACAAGTTGATTCCTTTCATATGTTTTTTTTCATGTTTAAAAAATAATATTTTTATATATTTTATGGTATGTAAATTATCTCAGTAAATATATGTATTGAGATACAGTGTATGTATTTTTAAATCTTTAAGATTAAGATTTAATCTCATCTACATTGAGATTTAAATCATATACCATAAAATTCAAAATGTACAGTTGTTTTTAGTATATTCACAGTTATGCTTTGTCAATACAAGCCAATTTTAGAACATTTATCAACTCAAAAATAAACCCTGTAGTCTTTAGCAGTCACTGCCTACTCCCCCCCTTATCCCTCCAGCCTTTAAAAAACCTTCATTTATCTACTTTTTGTATCAATAGATTTGTCTATAAAAGAATAGTATAATAAGTTGTGTTTTTGTGGCTTCCTTCACGTATCATTATATTTTCAAGGCTCATCCTTGTTGTAGCTTGAACTAGCACTTCTATGCTTTTAATGGCCAAGTAATATTCATTGTATGGATATACCGCATTTTGTTTGTCTATTCGTTACTGATGTATATTTGGATTGTTGCCATTTTTTGGATAATGTGAACCATGCTGCTTAGAACATTCATATATTAGTATAAGCTTTTGTGGTCATCTTTATATTTTCACATAGGAGTGGGATTGCTGGGTCCTATGGTAATTCAATGATTAACATTTTGTGGAACTGCTAAACTGTTTTCTAAAGCGTCTGTATTTTATATGCTCACTAGCAAAGCATGAGAGCTCCAGTTTCTCCACATCTTGGCAACACGTGGTATTGTTCTTTTATTAACCACCCTAGTGGGTGGGAAGTGGTAACTTTTTGTGATTTGATTTGGTTTTCTCTCATGGCTAGTGATGTTGTACATCTTTTTTTTTTTTTTTTCTTTTTTAAAAGATGTTGAGGAATACTATTCAAAAGGACTACCATGATGGGGCTCTGTTGTAGGAGAGCTTGAGATCAGGTTCAACTCTCTGTTGGAACATTTTTTCATGTACATATTGGCCATGTGCATACATTTGGAGAAATGTCTACTCATATCCTTTGCCACTTTTTTATTTTATTTTTTATTTAAAAAAATTTTTTTTGAGACAATCTCACTCTGTCTCCCAGACTGGAGTGCAGTGGTGCGATCTCGGCACACTGCAAACTCCGCCTGCCGGGTTCAAGGGATTCTCTTGCCTCAGCCTCCTAAGTAGCTGGGATTACAGGCGCCCGCACGGCGCCCGCCACCATGCCCAGCTAAGGGTTTCACTGTGTTGGCCAGGATGGTCTTGATCTCTTGACCTCGTGATCTGCCCGCCTCAGCCTCCCAGAGTGCTGGGATTACAGGCGTGAGCCACTGCGCCCGGCCCATTTGCCACTTTTTAAATTGGATTATCTTTTTATTGTTGAGGCATGAGAGTTGTCTTTTTATTTTTGAGACTGGATACAAGTCTCTTGTCAGATGGATAGTTTGCAAATATTTTCTCCCATTCTCTGGGTTGTCTTTTCACTTTCTTGATGGTATATTTTGAAGAACTAGTGTTTTTAATTTTGATGTAGTTCAATTTCTCTATTTGTTCTTTTTGTAGCTATGCCTTAGATTATATCTAAGAAACTGTTGCCTAACCCAAGTTTACAAAGATTTACACTTATGTTTTCTTGTGTGAGTTTTATGGTTTTCACTGTTATGTTCATCTGTGACTATGATCCAATTTTGAGTTAATTTTTATATATGGTGTGTAGTAAGAGGTCTAACTTCATTCCTTTACTTGTGGCTATGTAGTTGTTTCAGCACCATTTGTGGAAAGATGAGTCTTTCACCGTTGAGTTGTCTTGGTACCCTTGTTGAAAATTAATTGACCGTAAATATAAGGGATTACTTCTGGATATTCAAGTCTATTCCATTGATCTATGTATCTATCCTTATGCTAGTACCAAACTGATTACTATAGCTGTGTAGTGAAATTTGAAATTGGATAGCATGACTTCTCCAACTTTGTTCTTTTTCAGGAGTGTTTTGGCTATTATGGAACTCTTGTATTACCACGTGAATTTTAGGATCAGCTTGTGAATTTCTGCAAAAAAAGTTGGGATTTTGATAGGGATTGTGTTGAATAGGTAGATTAATTTGGGGAGTATTGCCATCTTAACAGTGTTAATTTTTTCAATCCATGATCATGATATATTTTTCTATTCAACAGTGTTTTGTAGTTTTCAGTCTACAGGATATAGGTTTTACACTACTTTAGTTAAATTTATCCCAAAATATTCTTTTTGAATTTAAATAGATTTTTCTTAATTTCATTTTCAGATTGCTCATTGCTATTGTATAGAAATTACAAAATAAATTGGTTTTTGTATATTGGCTTGTATCATACAACTTTGCTGAACTTGTTAGTTTGTTCCTAATAGTTTTTTTTAAGTGGATTTCTTACTATTTTCTATGTACAAAATTGTGCCTTTTGCAAATAAAGAATTTTATATGCAGTTGGCTCTACTGTTCAGTTAGGTATAGTTGATTGATGGTAGTGCTCAATTCAACTATACTCTTACTGATTTTCTGCCTGTTGGATCTGTCAATTACTGATAGAAGTAAGTTAAAATCTGCAACTATAATAGTAGATTTGTTTCTCCTTGCACTATCAGTTTTTAACTCACATAATTTGATGTACTATTGTTTGGTGCATACATATTTAGGATTATTATGTCTTATTGGAGAAATGACCCCGTTTTTATCATGTAATGCCCTTGTTTATTTTAGTAGCTTTTGGGGTACAAGTGGTTTTTGGTTACAAGTGGATGAGTTGTCTGGTAGTCAAGTCTCAGATTTTAGTGTACCTATCACTGGAGTAGTGTACATTGTACCCAATATGTAGTTTTTTTAAATCCCTCAACCTTCCCACCCTGTCCCCTTATACTCTCCAATGTCTGTTACACCACTGTTTTGCCTTGGTGTACCCATAGCTTAGCTCCCAGTTCTAAGTGAGAACTTATGGTGTTTGGTTTTCCATTCCTGAATTACTTCATGTAAAATAATGGTCTCTAGCTCCATTGAGACCTTTAATTGAGTTTCATTGAGAGTTTTAGTTAATTAACTCAACTTTAGTTCAGAAAATTGGCGAAACCAGCTGGGCGTGGTAGCGCCTGCCTGTAGTCCCAGTTACTCAGGAGGCTGAGACGGGAGGATTACTTGAGCCCAGGACTTTGAGGCTGCAGTGAGCTGTGATGGAGCCGCTGCACTCCAGTCTGGGTGACACAACAAGACCTTGTCTCTTTAAAAAAAAAAAGAAATATGTATGAACCTATTTATGTAGAATAGCACCAACAGAACATATGATCCATTTATGTAAAATAGCAACAACAAGCCAAATGGTAATATACAACTCTGTTTCTGTATGTAAATATGTTGAACGTTTTCTGGAAGGTTACATTACATGTAACTGTGATAACTGTGGCTTCCTCTGGGGAAGGGAATGAGTTGATTCTACGGAAGGAGGACTTTCACTTTGAGTGTGTTTTTCCAATTTTGTTTAAGCAAAATGTATTTCTGTTTCTTTTTAAAGTCTCAGCAAAGTTGTTACATTCGTCTTTCAGTTGTGTGAGCTTTATGGAGCAGGATTAATGCTGTGATGTGACCTTGTTACAGATTCACTGAAGATTTTTGTATGTTTTGTGAAAAGTCAGGAAAATTAAGGTTGGCATGTGAATGCCTAAGCTTTTCTGAGTTGGTAAACTTGTCTAGGTTATGTGAGGAGGATGCATGGTAATTGAGTTCTTGAGAAGTGATTGAGTTGTGAATTAAAGTGAGACAGTTATAAAACAAAAAAGTTTAGACTTTGCTGAATAAAAGCTAAGGTTTTATTCCATTTTAGAGTACCAAAAGCCTACAGATACATTTGATGGTACAGTTGTTACATATTAGATACTTCATTTCAGATTGCAGAACTGATTTCTAGCTTTTTGAAGTGGAAGTACTCAAAACATCAAGTCTCAAATATGTGACCAAAACTGCTGGAATTGACTGTGATAGAAACATTTTCATGGCACTTTACAGTTCAGTAATAATGTTAGCAGTATCCTATCTAGCAGAAATGATGGTGAAACTTTAATACTTATTGCATGAGAAGTGTTCATGCTAGAAGGGAGGATAATTGGGTGCTCATGTTGTAAGTTTTACATCTATCATATCATTTGATTCTAATACAGTCCCATGGAGTGTGGAACTGTTAGTGTCTTCATAGAGTAAGAAACTGAGGATCAGAGAGGTTAAGTAACTTGCCCAATAGCTAGTAAGCGGCAGACTGGGATTTCATCCCCAGCAATCACACCTTAGAGCCTGCATTCTTAGCCCTTGGAAGTGGTGTCAGCTTGGATGTCTGAAAGGCATTTCAGATTCACTTTAATTCAAAACAGAACTCATGAGCTTTACTCCCCTCCACCCTCACCACGGTATTTTTTATGATTTTGTCTCATTAAATGTCATCTTCTTTCATCCAATTGCTGAAGCCAGAAACCTGGTTAATACTCCCTAACACTTTCTTCCAGTTAAATCAGTCCTCTGTCTAGGCATCATTAACTCATTTAAAATTTTGAATGGTTCTTGAATCCTTTCACTTTCCTTTATTTCTACCACTACCTATCTCAGTCAGACCTGTTATCTGTTGATTGGACTCCAGTTGTGTCTTGAAGCTCCCACCCCTGTCTACTTCTGGTATGACCTTCAAATATAGAAACTGTTCCCCCTCCAGTTTTATATGTGCATGTGTGTATGTTTATACCTACGTAAACTCCTTCAGTGGTTCTTAGGGTGAAGAACAGACTTTTCAGCAGGTCTGTAAGGATATTTCTGGCCTGTGCTCACCTGTTTACTTTCATTGGTCACTCTCTTCGCCTCGTAGGTGACAGGACATTCAGTGGGACCGTGACTAGTTTATGCTTTTCCTGTTTTCTCTGCCTGGCAGTCAGCCCCTCTCCTTCCCTCTCACCTTAACTCCTACTCATCCTTCTAACCTCCACTGTCTGGGGTAAGCTTTCCCTAACCATCTCCTTTTGCCCTAGACCATTACCAGTTCTGGTTACAAGTTACTGGGGCACCACTTACAGCTTGTAAAGCAGTTTGAATTGGTTATTAATGACATTTATGGTTATTAATGATTTCTGTGATTATTAATGTTTGTATTTCCCTCCTAGACTCTAGTTCCTTGGCTGCTGATCACTATAGTACATCCTCAGTATGTTTGAATGAATGGACACATCTAGTCTTAGCTGCTTGATTTCCTTCCTGAGGAAACTGAAGCTTGAACAGTGTAACACAGTTTTATTCAAATACAGAGTTAGATTAGCACTTAATAGCTGAAGAAAGTTACTTCACCTCTCCAAGTCTCCATTTCTTTATCTGTTAACTAAGGATAAAAATAGTGCCCACCTCTTGGGTTGTGTTAGGGATTACATGAGTTAATTCGCTTAAAGCAGCTGGAGCAGTGCCTGAGGCCTACCGGTGGTAGCTGTTGTCAGTAGTATTGGGACCTACCTAAAGTCGTTCAGCTTTTTAGTACAGATCCTGTCAGATAGCCGTCCTTTATGCTTTTCTCTGTACTGAGAGCATTTGGCATTCTTGCAGATTTACTCTTTTGTGAGCAGAAGTTCATTCTTATACTTTAAAAAATGATTCTGCACAGTTTCTTGCACAGCGAAGGCATGTGTACGTTTTGTTGTCTTCAGTGTAACTCAGTTGCAAACAAGAACCATACCCACCCTGACTCAGTGGAAGGTATTTCCGATACACAGTGAAAATGTGTCTACTCCAGGAACGAGAAGGTCAGTAGAGGTTGTGCAGAACTTTGAATATCAAATTAAGGTCTTTGAAGTTGCATACTTTGAAATAAATAATGAAAGGATTTTAAGTAGGGGGTGAATTCTATGCTTAGTATGGTTTTTAGAAAATTGGTAACTGGAAGGAATGGGAGGCTAGGTTTAGATGATGGTTTTTGATTTAAAAAATGGGGCAGTTAGGAGTGACAGCTGGGTTTGTGGGAGAGATAATGAACTTTGTTTTATATAGGTTGAGTTGAAAGTACTTGTTGGACATCTAAATGGAAGTGCCCTCAGGTTAAGTGTATCAGACAGAAATCAGGAGAGAAACCTGGCATAGAATTACTGAAAACTATGTAGTATGAACAACAACAACAAAAAATTGAGATATTTAGAACTGGCATCCTAGAAAAAGCAGATGCTGTAACACCTGCATGTAACAAGGTTTATTAGCTGTTACTTCTGTATCTACTTGAAGATGATGAAACCACATTTTAAATAGTATCCTTTAACTTAAAAATTTCACTGATAAGTGTGGTCTTCCCTCTAGTTTGAGTGATGTAAAATTTACCAAAATGTTGCAAATTACCTTGGTGCTTAAAAAGAGATCAATGGAAGGGAATGTGATATCCTGAATTTCTTTGATTTGTTAAGTTCGAAGTTAGCTAGATGTGTGATGTAGAATCTGTTCTCTGAATGCCTGGCTCACTCAAGTGCTTGTACTTTTTTTCCCCTTTAACTAGGAATTGTGGTGCTTGGAATAAACAGAGCTTATGGCAAAAATGCACTCAGTAAAAATCTTATAAAAATGGTGAGTGTAAAGATTAAACTGTTTGCTTCTAATATTAAGATACATTATTGTCCTCAATGTAAAATTTTATTTTTCTCTTTTCCCTCGTATGCTTCCTATTTCTGTTTAGCTATCAAAAGCTGTGGATGCTTTGAAATCTGATAAGAAAGTACGGACCATAATAATCAGGAGTGAAGTCCCAGGGATATTCTGTGCTGGTATGTAAATATCTTCTATTATGAAATTAAACTGTAGTCTGATTTTTCCTCAGTAGTAGTCTGTTTTCCGTTAGAATGTTCTGTGGTTTGAACCCCATTACCAACAACTCCTCTTTGTGTTTTACTGATCCACAAGAAAAAAACAAGCTTAGTCTGAGAGCATTAGAAGAAGCTTTTGCAACATTTAGATTGTTTCAGAAGTTGAAAAAAAACTTTGAGCCATTAAAATACTTGTTTGTAGTACCTGTAGTACAATATTGCTTGTTGTGTCTTAATTGTGGCCAATATTCTTTAGTTTCATTCTTTTTTTTTTTTTTTTTTGAGATAGAGTTGCTCTGTCACCGAGGCTGGAGTGTAGTGGCGTGATCTTGGCTTACTGCAACCACCACCTTCCCAGTTCAAGTGATTCTCCTGACTCAGCCTCCCGAGTAGCTGGGATTATAGGCGCCTGCCACCTCGCCCAGCTAATTTTTGTATTTTGAGTAGAGACAGGGTTTCACCATGTTGGCCAGGCTGGTCTCCAACTCCTGACCTCAAGTGATCCACCATCTTTGGCCTTCCAAAGTGCTGGGATTACAGAGGTGAGCCACCATGCCCAGCCCCTAGTTTCATTCTCAAGGATTCTCGTTTTTTTTTAAGCTTCAATCTCTGTGGCTTCTGCCTTAAAATATTGCAGAATAGTGTGATATTTAGAAATATGCAGTATATTTTGGCTTTTGATGAGGTTTTATTGCCTTTTTAATACATTTCTTAAAATGTAGGATACCGAAAAGAATTAGTTTTAATTCCAGTTGAGTAATCAGAGTGAGTGTAGATTTATTACTCTCAACTGCTAGGGTTATGCTGTTATGCAGTAGATTTCTGTTTTTACATTTGTCAAATGCGAGTAATACCGTCTGCTTAGTTGGAGTGCTTATAAGGGTTTTACGTATATTTTGAGTTCTTTTTTTTAAACATTGCGAAAGACTTATACCAAGAGAATTAGGATTCTTACGTCTAGTTTTAGGGACGAGGTGAATATGATCTTGAGGTAAAGGAGTGTAACACTATGACTGATGGTTGAGAGGTTCTCTAAAGGTCATTGGATGGCTTATTGGGAAGATACAGAGTGGCTTTAGGGTTTTTAAAGAAGGCCCAATTATATGAATTTTTGAGGAGTGATAACAATGTTGTGAAGACAGATTAACGTTTTAAAAATAAGTGTTAGTGATCATCCTGGCATTGTTTTTCTATGGGCAGTAGGTTTTATAATTACCACGCTATAGTTACTGCTGGAATTCCTTTTATTTTACATTTTCTTTTGCAGCCCATTTGTTTTAGATTTCTGCATTAGGAATATACTTTGAAAAAGGCTTTAATGCTTTAGCACAGTTTGTGGCTGTCTGTTACAGATTGCCTTTTTCTCAAATAATATACCACATGCTGTTTATTAGAATAACATGTTAGTCTTGAGTGCTTTTTAACAAGTTAATCTATTTAATTTGCTTTATGGGCTTTTAAACTTTCATACAATCAGGATAATCTTTTAACTCAAGATTTTGACTGTTTTGTCAACAAGTCAATGTTTTAATTATAGAAAAATTGGGGCATATCATCTCTTTTAGTAATTCAGTATGTATGATGGAACTGTTCTTTCAGATTTCTCCAAAAGGTTTTCCTTTCTTCTTTTATTTTTTGAGATGGAGTTTCACTCTTGTTGCCCAGGCTGGAGTGCAGTGCTGTGATCTCGGCTCACTACAACCTCTGCCTCTTGGGTTCAAGTGATTCTCCTGCCTCAGCCTCCCGAGTAGCTGGGATTACAGGAACCTGCCACCACTCCTGGCTAATTTTTTGTATTTTTAGTAGAGACGGGGTTTCAACATGTTGGCCATGGTCTTGAACTCCTGACCTCAGGTGATCCACCTGCCTCAGCCTCCCAAAGTGCTGGGATTACAGGTGTGAGCCACCACGCTGGGCCTCTTTTTTTTACATATATTTACATTTATAAGCTGACTAGTAGGTCTGTCTTTTAACATGTACATATGAAATAAAATTCTAGATAAAAATCTCTTTACATTATTTAAAGAATATTTAAACTTACAGCCTGTATTAGTATAAACATCTTAATCAGGCCACGTTTATCAGTTATTGTTGAATAATGCAGTCTTTCACATAATTAAAGCTTTAATTTGTATTCCAAAGTAGTAATATTAAAAGAAACCTCGGCTGGGCACGGTGGCTCATGCCTGTAATTCCAGTACTTTGGGAGGGCAAGGTGGGTGGATCACAGGGTCAAGAGTTCAAGACCAGCCTGGCCAACATAGTGAAACCTCGTCTCTACTAAAAATACAAAAAATTTTCTGGCTGTGGTCGTGGGTGCCTGTAATCCCAGCTACTCGGGAGGCTGAGGAGAATCACTTGAACCTGGGAAGCAGAGGTTGCGGTGAGCTGAAATGGCAACACTTCACTCCAGCCCGTACGACAGTGTGAGACTCTGTCTAAAAAAACAAACAAACAAACAAAAAAACTCAAAAACACAGTGTACCATTTATTGATTATCCTTTTAGCCTCTTCTCCATCCCTTCACAGTCATCATTTTCCCTCTCCTTTTTCTGCCCCCACAAAGGTTTCTCTGTATATATTAATAACCTGTATTCCAGTGATACCTTTTTCATTTCTGAATACTTAAAGCTTAGCAAATGGTCTTGCCTCAAATTTCTTGAGCATAGGAACTCCTCTTATTCTTTGAGAATCATCTTTCACATTCTCAGAATACAGCAAACAACAGGGACTCAGCATGTATTTGCTGGAATTAATCAGCCTTTGTGCTTTAATTCACTGATTTTTTTTCAGGAATGGTTGAGATATAACAAGCAGCTTCTCTGAATTGTCTCGTACCACTCTCCTATTTACTGATAGTAAGTTTGGCTACATCTGTTTTCTAAAATGCTGGGAAAACATAAACATTAAAGAGATTCCTACATTGCATTGGAGGTTGGGCCAAATGATTTCTGACTTCTCATTTAAATCTACCTATTATTTAGCATTATTAAGTACTTTACTTACATTTTAAGTTTTTTAATCAATTTTTAGTTTAAAAAAGTAGCATGGTAGGTCAGAATGTATGAAAATGTATACAGAGAGAACTCTCTCTAACCCTACTTCCTCTACTTTATTCATCCCCTAATAACAATAACAATTATTATTTTTATCCTTTTAGTATTTTTCATATATATGTATGTACACACACACACACACACACACACACACACACACACACAAATACAGTCATGTGTTCCATAACAATATTTTGGTTAACAGTGGCCTGCATTATACGATACTGGTCCCATAAGATTATTTATTTTTATTTTTTTGAGACGGGGTCTCCCTGTCACCCATGCAGGAGTGCAGTGGTGTGATCTCATCTCACTGCAACTTCAGCCTCCAGTGTTCAAGCGATTCTCATGCCTTGGCCTCCTGAGTAGCTGGGATACATGTGTGCCATCATGCCCAGCTAAATTTTGTAATTTTAGTAGAGACGGGGTTTCACCATGTTGCCCAGGCTGGTCTTGAACTCCTGACCTCAGGTAATCCACCTGCCTCGGCCTCCCAAAGTGCTGAGATTACACGGGTGAGCCACTGTGCCCAGCCTCATAAGATGATAGTACTGTATTTTTACTGTATCTTTTCTGTTTAGGTACATATAAATACTTAGCATTGTGTTACGGTTACCTCCAGCTTTCAGTACAGTCACCATACAGGCTTGTAGCCTAAGAAAAATATGTTATACCGTATATCCTATTTATGTAGGGGATGGTTTCAGGATGAAACTGTTCCACCTCAGATCATCAGGCATTAGTTAGATTCTCATAAGGAGCATGCAACCTAGATCCCTCGCATGCGTAGTTCATGGTAGGATTTGTGCTCCTATGAGAATCTAATGTGGCTGCTGATCTGACAGGAGGCAGAGCTCAAGTAGTAATGCTCCCTTGCCTGTACTCACCTCCTACTGTGCCACCGGTTCCTAACAGGCCACAGACCCAAACTGTTCATCAGCTCAGGGATTGGGGACCCCTGGCCTGTACCATCTAGGTTTGTGTATGTACGCTCTATGATGTTTATACAAGGATGAAATTTTCTAAGGACTCATTTCTCAGAATGTAGTCTTTAAGTGACGTATTATTATATACCGATGCACTCATTAGAATGTTAAGTAGATATTTAAAGTGATACATATAAAGACATGTAAATACGATACATATAAAGTGATACATATGGAGTATGGAAAATACCTGTTACAAGCGTAGGGAGAGTTGTATATAAAATGTTATGGCCATTATTACTGTAACTGTGTAAACTATGTCTACCAATAAGATCATGGGCCAGGTGACTCACACCTGTAGTCCCAGCACTTTGGGAGGCCGAGGCAGGCAATTGGCTTGAGCCTAGGAGTTCAAGACCAGCCTGGGCAACATGGCAAAACCCTGTCTCTACAAAAAAAAAAAATACTAAAGTTAGCCAGGCATGTTGGTGCATGCCTGTAGTCCTAGCTACTCAGGAGGCTTAGGTGGGAGAATTGCTTGAGCTTGGAAGATCAAGGCTGCGAGCCGTGATTGTGCCACTGCATTTCAGCCTGGGTGACAGAGCTAGACCCTGTTTGAAAAAATAAGAAAAAAAAAAGATCATGGATTAAAGGTGATTTTTTTCTGTCTTCAAACTTTCTGAAATAATTTCATTATATTAACAAATTAAGCAAATATATACAAAGTAAATACTTTTGAAAAAAGTACAAAGTATATTAGTGTATTTTTCTTTTTTGGAAACTAAAATTGGGATATTAACTGAGTTCCTGAATTGTTGTTACAACTTTTTTTTTTTGGATGGAGTCATGTTCTATCACCCAGGTTGGAGTGCGGTGGTGTGATCTCTGCTTACTGCAACCTTTGCCTTTCAGGTTTAGGTGATTCTCCTGCCTCAGCCTCCTGAGTAGCTGGAATTACAGGCGCCTGCCACATGCTCAG